CCCAAGTAGCTGGGACCACAGGCGCCCGCCACAACACCCGGCTATTTTTTGGTTGCAGCCATTATTGTTGTTTGGCGGGCCCGGGCTGGATTCGAATCCGCCACCTTAGGTGTATGTGGCTGACGCCTTAGCCCCTTGAGCCACAGGTCCTGAGCCCAGTTAGACATTCTTAAAAAAACCAGTTCCACCCTGGAGACAAAGCCAGTAACTTTTTCGTGTCTTTCCTTCCAACTATTTTCTGTGCACAGGTTGCTTCTTTTTCATTTGCTTGTGATCATATTACCTACTGAAATGTTTCCACTTAACATTACATCTTTAAACGGCATACATTGTTACAAAGTCTAAGGCAGATGTGATGGTAGACATCGCCCAGTCAGAATTGCAGTTGTTTTCATTTCTCTCCATTGATAAGTTTTTAAACTTCTTAAATGTGTCATGTTTGTTCTTATTCACACTGATTCCTGAAATGGTGTCTGAGAAGTGGAATCATGGCATCAGAAATTGAATGTTTTTTTGTCCTTGATTTGTGTTGCTGGGGTAACTGCCTTTACTGCTTTACTTGGGGGTGAGGGGACTGTGGCCAGAGCAGGCATAGGGCTTCCTGCCCCACGGCAAAGAGGGGGTGCAGCTTCTCTACAGGGAGGCCCTGCCACATCATCGAAGGCCCCATCTGGTCATTCAGTCATTCAGGAATTTTCAGAGATGGGAGCCATAGACGGGAACTTTTGCCTTAAATCACAAAGCACAAGTCATGTGAAAATTGTACACGTGGGCAACCCAAACACATTTTTATTTTCTTACGGGTATTTGTATCCGTTTACCCAGAGCAGCTGAGATTTATGGCACTTCAAAGATCAGAGAAACCTACTAGTTTTATCTTATCTCTAGGAATAGTTGATACCTAGGAACAGATATTCTATTTAGTCAACTTCCCAAGGTGAGACTGACTCTCCACCTCTCTGGGCAGCAGGTACAAGAATGCTGTGAGTGGTGGGAGAGGGGCGCTAGGAGGCTGGTTTGGTAGGCCCCATAAAGCTGTGTTTGCAGGAATTGTCAGTAACCAGGGATGTGTCCTGCAACTGAGTGACTGGTTATTCTGAGTCCCTGGGCATTGCAGGAGGCAACATTTACTGAGCACCTGCTGTGTGCTTTCCCTGGAGATGTTGCCAGGAATGAGAGAGACCACCTCAGACTCCGTGAGCCTCAGGGCCTACCAGCTAATTATAGTGTCAGTGATGGAATTGTCTTTATGGTAGGTCCTGTGCCATGGCCTATGGGATGCTTTGAGAACATTTCACAGAGGACAAGCTGCAGTCCAAGAGACAGGAGGAGGGGCCCTTCAAATAGGAAGCAAGACACCAGAAAGTGTAGAACTGAGTTCACTAGGCCAACATGTACCGACTCATTTCGCCAACCTGCCTATACTTCTACCTGCATACACTGTGCTCAGCACTGAAAATGACTCTTCCTATCCTCATTTATAGATAAGGGTCCTAAGGCACAGAAATATGACATAACCTGCCCAAGGCCTTGTGGCTGGTGTCATCTGTTGGTGTTTCCACGGGCCAGACCCTGGGCAGTGGGGTACAAGAACCCAGCCTCTGCCCTGAGGGACTCACAGTTCCTAAGGACAAAGACACAGGACCCAGAATTGTGGTATCAAAAGAAAGCAGTCCCCAGCTGGGTAGGAGCTGTCCAGGAGGACTTTCTGGAGGAGATAATATTTGAGGTGAACCCAGCTGAAAGACTAAGGAGCTCCCAGGTGGAAATCATTAGGGGAAGGGACTTTCCGGGTAGAGGGAGCTGCATGCTTGCACAGCTTGGGCTGTGGGAGGGTGGTGCTCACTGGGCATTCCCAGGGACCTAGAGTGTGACAGAACAAGCAAGAGGAAGAGATGAAACAAGCAGGGCTGGGATGTGCTCGTGTGGAAGTTAGGAGCCACTGAAGGTCTTAGCTGACACCTTGGAGAGCTTGCCTGGAGGAGGAAGGGTCCAGAAAGATTCCAGATCTGACTTCACCTAGGACATTTTCCTGAGCTCCCTTCCTGAACAATAGGGAGTCCTCCGCCCCCACCCCCCATATTTTATTCGGGTCATAAAGACCCTTTCATAGCATGGTCTTTTTTAGGGGCCTGAAAAGAAGAGGCACCTGGTAAACTTGCATAGTCATAGAAGGCTTCCTGGAGGAGGTGACACTTTTTCTGCCCCCATGGCTGAGAAGGCTGGGGAAGCAAGCACATGTGTCGGGGAGAGTTTATGAATAAGTACAGGAGCAGAAGCAGGGACTAGGTCCAGCCTCTTAAAAAATGATAACACAGAGGTTCACACCAAAGAACTAGGTAGGGCAAGTTTGGACCTTATTCTAGTGTCAATGAGGAGCCATTGAAGGTTGTCATCCTTGAGGCTGGACTTGAGTTGAGTCCCCTAGGGGGTGTGTGCAGGAGAGAGAGAAGAGAGCAAGGTGAGGCTTCCCAGGGGGCTGAGTAAGCAGGCTCTGCTCAGTATGAGGTCTTAGGCTGGGGTGCAGGTGTGGGGTAGACATGGGGGCCATGGTGCGAGGCTGCCCCCAAGAAGAAGGCTTCTGTCCGTGCTTTGTGGCTTAGGCTGAAAACTTCAGCTGGCCCAGAAAGGGAATTGTCCACAGTCCCTCAGTCTGGCCACTCCTCAAGCCTTTCCCAGTGGCAGGAGCAGAGGAGGGGGAGAGAAGCCAGCAGCTCAGGCTTCACTCTAGAGAAGGCAGAGGCTGAGAGGATGGGGCCAGCCACTGACTGTCCTTAACTCTGACATCTGGTTAAGGACCTCCCACCAGGTGCATTTCCTAGTCAGCACCCAGGCTGCTTGGATGTCTGCTGCTGCCTAAGAAAAGACTATGTGCATTTTTCTAAGTAATGAGTGTCTCAGGGGTTGCAGGAGGGGACAGTCAGGTCTCCCTTTGCTCACCCCTGCCAAGAGACCTTGGGATCTCGTGGCCTGAAGCATAAAGAGTAAAGACCCCTTCCACATTCAATAAAGCTGTCATTAACTTGCTTCCAGCCATTTCTCAATAAGGGCAACGTGTAAGAGTTCAGTGGGGGTGTGAGGCCCAGGAAGGCTGTCAGAGGGCTGGGGTACAGGTGTGGGGTGGACATGGGGGCTGCGGTGCGAAGCTGCCCCCAGGAAGAAGGCTTCTGTCTGTGTCATGCAGAATGAAGCTGGCGCCCCTTCTCCCAGCTCTGCAGACATTGCTTCCTACCAAAGGGCCTCCTCAGCTCTTGACATCAGCAGGGTGCTTGCTCACAGGCAGCTTTCACGGTGAGAAGCAGCAGCTGGCCACGGTTCAGTGGTACATGACACACTGTTCCTTGCCTGGGAGGGCAGGGGGCAGATTGTAAATAACACGAACCAGCAGAGTTCCTTGTCTGACACAAGGTTGCTAAGGGGTTCTTGGCTCCAGCGGACGCAGGTGTCTGTGTGGCAGGAGGGTCTGCGCATGTGCAGATTTGATCTTTTGCACATTTAATAAGGGCTGTGTGCAATGCTAGGCATTTGTTCTTAGGACCTAGCATAATGTAAGAAGCCTTGTGTGGTGGATAGAATCTTAGGTGTGGACTTGGGGGGGGTGGGGGCTGTGTCTGCAGACCAGAAACAGCAGGGACCCAGGAAGGAGCAACCACCTCACACAGGGAGCTACAGGGACCCTGCCAGTGTGATCTGGGCCATGTGTGGGGGAGGGCATAGTCAAGGGCCAGGACCTACCAGGTCTTGTGAGGAAGTCACTTTTGGCCTCACCTTGGGGCTAAGATGGGAAGGTCCAGGTTCAATTCCAAACCCTGCTCCCTTCACTGCATGTGCTTCTGGGCAAACTGCTCAGCAGCCCACAGCCTCCTCATCTTCATCCCTAACCTAGGTCACTGTGTGTCCCTCTCAGTTTCTCAAGGTGGGTGTGCTCAGTACACCCCAGGAGAAGCCAGGTCCATTTTGTGTGCTCACCAGCAGTGCACACCAGAGTTCCCGCATCCCTTCCAAGCTCTGAGCTCAGGATTTGCTGTGTAAGTTATCTGGGGGCAAAGTAGTGCCCCTAGCAGGGGTCCCCTCTGGGTGAGGTCCAGGCTGAAGAAGGAACTTGTGTCCTCATTGAAGCTAAAGGTCCAACCTTGGGGCTTGTTTCACTTGCTGTCCCTTAAAGCCAGCCCTGCCCATGAGCACCAGTGGGGGCATTGCACACCTGCATTTGGAAGGTCAGCCCCACTATTTAGAGTAATAGCTGGGCAGCCCAGCTTGAAGCTGGGGTTCCATTTCTCAGGATGGGGAGAGGCAGGAGGGCAGTGGGCAAAAGGGAAGGGTGGGCTTTGAGGACCCTCGTGCCTGACACCCAGCACCTGCCTGCCCACCCATCTCCCACTTGGCCTCTCCAGAACTGCCTCGTGACAAAGTCCCAGCACATTCACCCCTGTGTGTGTGATACTGTGCAGTGCTGGCTATAGTAGATGTTCTTGTTATCTTTTTATTCCATTCAGTATAATTTCATGCTCATTTCCCCATACCAGGTAGCCTTCAAAAGCATGCTACTCCTCAAAACTCTTTGTTTTGACAGTTTTCAAACTTGCAGGACAGTTAAGCCTCCTGTAGTGAATACCCATATACCCTTCACCTAGAACTAGACTCACTGACTGTTAACCTGTGAGGACAATTGTTTTCTCTCTCCCACTGTGTGTACTTTTATTGTTTACCAAAGCATTTGAAACGGAGACACCCCTGAATACTTGAGCAGGGTGTGCTAGGTATGAGGGCCTCTCTGCTTACTGCACCCACAAAGTGAGGCATTGAGTCCATCATTGCCAACAAATTTTATATCCACACTGACTTGACTGTCAAAAAATATACTTTATTGCCAGAAAGCATGTTTTCTACACAAATGCATAGCATTCAGGCTATGCATAGATGAAGTGTGGTTTGTCTAACCTGTCTGATCATTGGACTTTTAGGTAGCTCCTGGGTCTTCATTTTTAATCTCTTGGGTTGAATGCTCTTGCTCATGAATCTTTGCCCCACATGTAATTACTTCTTTACAGTGAAGTTGCACATTTTCAAAGCCCTTGATACATTTTACCCAGGGATCAGCCAGAAAGATACACCAGCAAAACGAGCCGCAGCCCAGGACGGTGTAAATTGCTATGTGCCCAGGCCTGAGCAGAGCACCAGATGAGAATGGTCTCTTCAAATCCGAGTACCCTCCGCAGTCAGTCTTCATTTTATCTTGATTTTATCACATTCGAAAGCTAAGAAACCAAAGGGCAGTGGCTTTCCCTGTGGCCACACAGTTGGGATTCAGCCACCCACCTGACCCCAGGGAAGGAGCAACCACCTCATGCAGGGAGCTGCAGGGACCCTGCCACATGGCAAGACACTGTCGAGAGGTCATTTTTAGGGCCCTGGGCCATGGGCAGTGAGAGGGATAAGCTACTTCAGTCTTGCGATGGTCCACGTTCCCTCTGGGGACAGGCAAGCTTGCTGCCTCCTGGTGGCTTGTCGCCACTGTCCTAGAGCAGCCCCACGCCTCCTAAGGCATGGCTTGGGGTGGGGATGGGGCACAAACAAAACTTCATCCTCTCACCTCAGGGTATCAGGTAGTATTTGGGGTCCTGGGCAAGAAGCAATAGCACCATGGGCCCCAGCTTTGCTGCTCTGACAAAGCTTGCCCTTCTAGAAGCTGCAGAAGGGTCCTGTCTGCCCCTGTGCTGACTGCGTTCGCAGCCCAGGCCTGCCACTGAGGAACCTCAGGGCATTCTGCCTAGGGCTGAGGCTCTAAGTAGGGCAGGCAGACTGATCCCATGAGACTCAACTCAGGCCACCTGTCGGACTGACCTGGCTGAAGCAGGGAGAGAGACCCCCAGCTCTCCCCTTCCTCTCCTCCGCCTGGGTCTTCTCCTGGCTGCCCTTCTGCAGGTCCTGGGGAACCCAGTCTGAAAACCAGAAGGCCAGTCACACATGGTACTGTGGAGGTGGTGACAGCGCCTGGCACTCAGAAGGGTTGTGAGAACTAAAAATAGCAAAAGCGTTTCTGACTTTCAGTGCTATTGGTTTATGGCTGAGGAAACTGAGGCTCAGCACAGATAACCCTCTTGCCCATGTGGCTCCTGCCCTGTGGAGCTTCATGGCACATAGTGAGCCATCTGAAGGCTTCCCTGCTCAGTCCTCCCAGGAAGGGACCTTGGAGGCAAATCCCATCCAGTTTATAAGTGAGGGAATTGAGGCTGGGAACAGGGCGGGGCTGGCGGGGGTCCCCCAGTCTCCGCCTCTCTGGCATGCCCTGCTCCAGGGGCATCTGGGACCCCAGTAATGAGGAAGCTGCCTTCTTGTCCCCCTCCAGAGCTGCCCTCCTCTGAGCACCTGAGCGTGGCGGATGCCACCTGGCTGGCCCTGAATGTGGTGTCCGGCGGCGGCAGCTTCTCCAGCTCCCAGCCCATTGGTGTGACCAAGATCGCCAAGTCCGTCATTGCCCCACTGGCTGACCAGAACATCTCGGTGTTCATGCTATCCACGTACCAGACGGACTTCATCCTGGTGAGCTTCGTGCCCCGTAGTCACGGCCCCACAGCAAGCTCACCCTGCACATGCCACCCCCACAGTGCCCTCCTGTGCTGTGGGGGCCAGGAACAGAGGTTGGTGCCCCAGGGACCACCTGGCACTCACACCTCCCCTTCTCATCTCCAGGTGCGTGAGAGAGACCTGCCCTTTGTCACCCACACCTTGTCATCAGAGTTCACCATCTTACGGGTTGTCAATGGCGAGACTGTGGCAGCTGAGAACCTCGGCATCACCAATGGCTTCGTGAAGCCCAAGATGGGTGAGCTGGGCTGAGGTTACACAGGGGAAACCTCAAGAAGCTACCGAGTCCTGCCCCAGATCAGCCCCATTCGCAGAGAGTATGAGTTCTGTCTACTGATCATGAGCAGAGCACCGGGCACTGGGCACACTTGTGGTCCTAGCACTTTGGGAGACTGAGCAGGAGGAACCCTCAAGCCTGGGAATTCAAGGCTACAGTGGAGTTATGACCATGCCACTGTACTCCAGCATAGTCCCAATAACAATAATAATAATAATAAGTGCCAGGCATAACGTGGTGCTTGTGCTGAGAAGTGCTACTGTAGTGTAGCACAGGTAGTGGACATGCACATAGCCAGTGATGGCCAGAGGCCACCCCACCCCACCTGAGGTCTCAAGGTAGGCCTCCCAGAGAAAGGGTATCCAGCTAAAGCTTGGGGTACAAGTGGCAGCTAAACCTGGTGGTGACTAGGAAGGACATTCTAGGCAGCCAGTATAGCTGCCTGGTGCAAAGGCCCAGGGGCCTGAAGGCAAGCCAGAGACTCAGGAGCATTGGAGGAGGTGGTGGAGGCTGGAGAAGCAATAGAGGCCAAATCTCAAGAGCCCTGCGCTGAGCCCTGCTCCTGGGCCTCGTACCTACCCACACTGCTGCTCCAGGCCCCCAGCTCAGTGCCTGGTGTCTTTGTGCTCCCCCAGTCCAGAGGCCGGTCATCCACCCTCTGTCCAGCCCAAGCAACAGGTTCTGTGTCACCAGCCTGGACCCTGACACGCTGCCCGCTGTTGCTACACTTCTCATGGACGTCATGTTCTACTCCAACGGGTAGGACCCCCACTCCGGTGTCAGGGGTTACAGGGTGGGTGGCATGACTGCCTGGGAGCCCAAGTCTGTGTGGGGACACATTCTACCCTGGGATCCCCAAAATTTGGGGAAGGTCCAGGTGTATGTGTAGATGTAAGGCGCACACACCCCTCCCCCACCCATCCACTGAGCTCCAAGGGCAGGTCCAGTCCACGGAAGCACCCAAGACTCAGGTTTTTTTAATTTAATGAATGACAGTTTGTGTCTTTCCTCAGCAGATTTTGTAATGTTTAGGCCAGCACTGGTGGAGGGGGGGAGCAGGGTCCAGCAAGCTGGCAGTGGCCACAGCCTATATCCTGAGACGTAAGCAGACACAGGGAGGGGCTGGCATCGAGGCCAAGTTGGCTTTCTGCCCTGTGAAGTGTGGCGCCCACCTCTATGAAAGTGGCGTCCCCGTCTCATTGGTGAGCAGATAGAGGGACAGATGCCAGTGGGTTCAGGGTCCCCCAGCAAGGCAATCAGAGCCTACATTAGGCTCAGCTTCCCCAGGCCAGACTGGATGGGCAGGCAGGTGCAGTGGGGGCTCCAGCCTTACCACTTGCTCCTGGCCTCCAGAGTGAAGGACCCCATGGCTGCCGGCGATGACTGTGGCCACATCCGCTTCTTCTCCTTCTCCCTTATTGAAGGCTACATCTCCTTGGTGATGGACGTTCAGACCCAGCAGAGGTGAGCCAGGCCCTGGGGTGCAGGGAGGTGTCCCATGTTGGGTACCTACTTTGTCTCTGATTAGCCCTTCACCAAAGGTGAGCCAGTCCTCTGGCTCAGAGAGGCCCAGAGGTTGTCTGGGGTCCCCAGAGATTTGAGTTTTGGGCATTGTTGGTCCCTCAGGCCCCACACTCTGGAGCTAAGGAGGTACCTTCTGAACAGCCTAGCAGAGGGCGCTGTTTTTTTCAAAGCCCAGCTTAGCCCTGTCCTCCACATCCCCCTTCCCCCAAGATGAGGCTACAGAGCAAGAGGTCCAGGGTGTCAGGAGGGGATGGTCCTTGTGAGTCCTGAGCTCTGCCCCACCCACCCGTCACACTGGCTAATGCCACAGCACCCCAAGGGCAGGTAGGGAAGGTTCTGCCGAGGGCTACAAGAGGTCACACAATTAACATCAGCCTATGGGATTTTTCTCTCGCCCTTTCGAAGGTTTCCTAGTAACTTACTGTTCACAAGTGCATCTGGAGAGCTCTGGAAGATGGTGCGGATTGGAGGACAGCCCCTGGGATTTGGTGAGCCCCTGTGGGGTTCAACACCCGCCCCAGCTGGAGCTAGCATGGCCGAGCTCACACACATGCATCATCCTGCGCCTGTGCCATCCCTTGACCAGTGTGTGACAAGTGTACACAGACCTCCGGGGGACAGGAGGAGTGGGCTTCAATCAGACGATGCTTATTCCCCGCCCCTCCGCCCCCACCCCCAAACTAATACATTGCTTATTATTAGAAAGCTGGGCTGTAACGAAAACTTCAAGCAGATAAAAAACACTCCTTAGTCTCACCACTCAGAAGTAATGAGTACTGGCGACTTTATTGTTTCTTTCACATAAGTCCATGTCAGTGCCAAACATCCCCCAGTAAGTCAGCAGCAGGAGAGACGAGTGTATGAGAAACGCTAGTGTTGCACTAGCAGGCAAGAGCTGGAGGCGCCTTCCTGGGATGTGGAGGGTTGTAGAGCTGCATGTTTAGCTGTCAATGTGCCTGCAAGAAAAATAACTCATGGGGAACCTGAAAGATTCTGGACTGGCAGGTGCCACATGTTTTTTGACCCCGTCTGGAGTCAACATATTTTATATGGTGACCCGGCAGGCACACACACGCACAGACAACTCAGACTAAAGTTTCACAAGACCATGCTTGCTTCAGCGTCATGCTCTGTGTCATTGTATAAAATGCTGATCACCAGCCCTCTAAATTGATGTCACAGGTCTCAGGTTAAAAGGTACCTTGCTACATACACCTTTATCTACACCTCCCCCCACCCCGCCCCCATGTTTATAGTAGCAGTTGCATCCACAGCTAAAGGGATCTTAGGACACAACCAGTCTTCACCACATAGAATGGAGAGGCTGGCACAGCTAACACAGAAGCCTATGAGTTCAGCCTGAGCCCCCAGCACAACAGACAGGAGCAGGAATTCGGGAGACGTGCCAGGCTACTCCTGCCCAAGTCCAGGGTGGGCTGAGAGTACAGAACCAGAACCAGGAGGGTAAGGGAGCAGATGGGATGCTGGGCTTAGTGACAACAGGGGTGACTCACAGAAGAGCACAGCCCAGAGTGAGTCTCAAGCTCGGGCTTCAGAATCTTATGGGAGCTGGTGGCCAGATCTGCAGCTATTCACCTGGTCAGGAAAGGTTTTGGAGAAATGCATCATTGCCAAAATCAGAACACTAGCTTTTAGGGAAACAACCCAGGAAATTGTGTAAGGAAAGAGAGCGGTCTGCAAATCCTGGAGGTCTTCCTGTCGGGGGAAGCCTTGAGTGTACCTCCAAATCAAGGAGGGAGCCAGGGAGTATGGGAGAGACTAGCCCCAGGCAACCCGAAAGTGGCCTAATCAACTGGTTATGAAGGGGTAGGAGGGCCTTCCAGACCCCTGCCATGGAGGTGTGGAGGGAGAAGGTCATCACTTTCTAGCCAACCGAATGCCTTCAGGACAGGCAGGGGCTGTTATGTAATGGGGACTCTGGTGAGAAATCAGAGGCTCAGAGGAGGTAATCTGCCTATGATCATCTGGCTAGGAAAGAAAGCAAGACTTAGAGGGGCCCTAACCCATTATCCTGTTGTCCCACCACCTCCTGCTCTATCTTCATAGAAGTCACAAGATGGACTGGGGACACAAGGTGCAGAAATAGGCGGAGGGTGATTGAGGTTGGGCGGAGCCAAGTCTGTGGTACCCCGAGGAGGGAGTACCTGTTGATGGCCAGTGACAGACAGAGACTCCGGCATGGAGTGGTCTTTGGGCTGAGCCTTTGGGGTTGGGAAGGGAGAAATTCTCTGGGAAGATTGTGGGGGTGGGGAGGATGCTACCCACAGAGGGAAGGGACACACGCCACAGTGTGATCCAGGGCGCTCCAGCCACATGGGGCTGAGTGCAGATCCCCTTTTCCAGATGAGTGTGGCATCGTGGCCCAGATCTCTGAGCCCTTGGCTGCTGCAGACATCCCCGCCTACTACATTAGTACTTTCAAGTTCGACCACGCACTGGTGAGTGTCTCCCAGCCCCAGGGCAGAGCCAGGGTGGGAGCAGGTGCCCGGGCTAATGGACAGATGTGTCCTTGCCACCCCCACAGGTACCAGAAGAGAACATCGGTGGTGTCATCAGTGCCCTGAAGGTCGGTCAGGCAGAGGAACACTAGAGAGTTGCCCCTGCTGCTGCCAGGCCTGGGCCCGGCCCCCACCCTGAAGCTTGTTCTTGCAGTATTTCTCCACAGACTGGAAAATTGGCCTGAGGACCCCCAAGGAAGAGGCCTCTGGGAGACCCCTGATTGCCAACCCCTCCAGGCCTGGGGCCCAAGCCAAGGCCTCCCCATGCCCTCCTGCCTTCCCAGAGCCCCCAGATCCTTCAGACCCTCCAGAGAAGGACCCACCTCCTCCCCGCCCCCCCCCAACCACACCCCAGAAGATGATTTCTGAGGCCCAGGGACCATGTGAGCTGATCCATCTTCTCATCCGTCCTCGCCTACGGCCGGGGCAGATGCCAAAGGAAGCTGGTCCCTCCTATGAGATACTGACATGCTGTTCCTCCAGGGGGCTAGCAGACCGGGGCTGAGTTTGTGGAGCCCCTGAAGGCCCATATGAGGGTGGAGGCCAAGTGCTGTGGCCGCTGGTCTCTGGTCCCATCAGCTCAGGGCTGGTTCCCTCAGAGTGAAGGCCAGTAAGTAGGTCATAGTGGCTGGAGAGGCCCAAACAGGAACACAGGTGGGGCCCCGCGCTGGGAAGGACCTGAGCCACTTTGCACCTTGCCTGCCAACCACAGGGCTTGTGCCCGATGCCCAGCACGACTGCCAAGAGGGGCCCTGTCCAAATCTCCCCCTGATGAGTGCTCACTCCTTGGGGGAGGAGGGGCCCTAGGAGACCCACCAGCCTGGAGCACCGGCTCCTTTCCCTTCTGCTTTCCCTGGACCCTGCCTGGACAGGCTCAGCCTCAGTTTTCCCCAGCAGGGGCATCGCCAGTACTCTGGGCCTAGGGGCTCTTAGGGATTTTCCCTCCTCCCCAACAATTGACTAGACCAGCATAGGCCTCCTCGCCATCCTTCCCCTCCCCTGCCCCCCACTCACCTGCCTGCCCGCCCACCCCTTGGCTGGGGCTGTGGCATTCATGAGTACTTGACCTGGGAGGCAGCTTAACTGAGCCTTAATAGAGAAAATCGTACCTTGTTTTAGTTTTTTATTTAATGTTTTTGCGCCCAGGCTGCTGTTGGCAGTGGTCTCTGTTTTCAGGGGATGGGGCCTATTTGAGTTCTGTCAGGGGGCCCAGGGGCTCAGTGTCACTATTGCTGCAGGGCCAGGCATAAGCATGGGAGGCTGCAGCGGGGGCCCCAGCCCTGCCCTGAGAGGAAACCCTTTGGCGCCCTGCATGGGGCCTCCTGACTGGCTGTGACTCTCTCTGGGTGTCAGAGGGTGTGAGGTGGACAATGGGCAGCAGGCCAGCCAAGTGGTCTTGTCCAGGGGAAATGGGTTCAGTGCTGGTGGCCCCCGCCGTGGGGTGTGCTGTCAGAGTAAGCAGGACCCAGGCCTCCTAAGGCTCTTTCCCAGGCAGCAACCGAGTCACTGTCTCCAAGGTCAGAAGAGGAGGGATGTTTCCTTATCCTAGTGAAGGGCTCCCCACTTTTTTCAGCTGGGGAGGACCCTCTGAGCCTCAGAGTTCACCAGATGGAGGAGCTTTCTTCAAGATATTTGCGGATGCTCAGGGCCCGCCATGCTAATTAGAAACCCACTTTTCTTTAATTCATTTTGCACAAAACTCCAAAATGAAACTTGTAAATCATTTGCTGGTCCCAAAAGGGAGGTGGCCAAGTGAGAAGGGCAGTGGTTAAAGCCGTGAGTCCCCTTTCTGTCCTTGGAAGGCCTTGATTTTCCTTTCTGTTACTTCCCTGATGGTGTCACTTCTCTGCCTTTCCTCCTTGCCCTGCAAGTGTGTCGGCCCCATGACCCCAGAGTCGTGTGTTCCCTGACCTAGGACGTATCTATTGTATACACCTATAAATACCTGTGTTTTATGTTGATAGAGATATATACTGTAAATAGCATATATACTTGAGCAATATATATGTTAATATATACTGTGTGCGCAGTATGTGGACACAGACCCACTGTGTGTGCACATGCATGGGTGTGGGGTCCTCTGCCCAACACCCTGCCATGCACACAGGCACGTTTTGAGCCACCATATATTTTTTAATTCAAGTATATAGGCAATACGATTATTAGAGAAGGCGAAATTAATCCCTCAGACCTGACTGGAGAGAAAACAAAACCAGCAGCCACAGAGCCTGCGGTGCGGCCGGGACAGGTGCGTGGGTCTGCCAAGGTGTGGATTGTATCGGGAGGTCTGCTCTCTGTATCTGTCTCCCTGGCTGAAGCCCCTGGACACCCATGCTTTATTTTGGGGGATGTTGGTTCAGAGGGAAGAGTAGTTGGAATTTCTTTCTTTTTAAAAGAATGCCCACCCCCATCAGCATCCTCATCCTGAAGACCTGGGCCCACCGTGTCCCACCCAGAGTCCCGTCTCCTTGGGTGGTAGTTTTTATGTGGGCGGCTGACTTGATGGTTTTTTAACCTGCAAGCTTAGAAATGTCAGGTTCTTTGCCCAGGTCTCCTCCCAGGGACAGCCCCATCTAAGCGAGGATAGCCCATGTGCGGAGGAAGGCTGTGGCGAGGGCATGGCTCTCCCACCCTGGCCGGCCCCACAGGTGTGTTCCCTGCTCTAGCCCCCATGGTTGGAGTGCTCCCCTGGGGACCCGACTCCTTGGCCACAGAAGGCTCTTTATTTCTCCCATTCCCGTCCTCCTGCTTGTGTGAAGCAGCTTGGTTTCTCTTCTCTTGGTGTTCTGTGCATAGCGTAGTCTTGGTTTGGTCTCCTCAGTTTTTTAGGGGGGATGTGAGTGGTTTTCCCAGGGCCATCTACCCTGACTCTTCCCCCCACCTTTTTCTGGCCTGCTGGCCGTGGGTCTTTCCAGGCCAAGCCCAGGCTTCATTTGGAGGGGTATGTGTTTCTCACAGGGCCCACATCCCAGCAAGTGCATGGGGCTTCCTGCCTAGCTATGCCATCTGTCCTCCCCTGCCCTCTGTACCCTGCAGAGTGGTGAGAGCTAGGGGGAGCAGTTACCCTCCCCACTGATGGGAGCCCTGCCTCAGCACAGGGACCCCTAGTCCCCCAAGAAACCACTTTCTCAGCCCCAGTCCTGTCCCCAAAAAGACTGCCCCTCCTTCCTCCATAGGATTTTGAAGCCCCTGGGAGCCACTGTCCAGCACAGTCCCCAGCCCAGGCTTAAGGCAGCCTTGATCCTGTTAGTCCCCTGCCCCAAAGACCCAGAGGGACCCAAACCACCAGCAGCCCTCCCACCACCTCAGGTCCCAGGCTGCTCCCACGTGTAAAGGGAAGGAGCTGGTTGACCCAGAAATGCCCATTGTGGCCACTCCAGCAGACAGTATGGCTGCAGTGACCGATTTGGTGTCCAACAGAAGGATGCTTGGTCCCCTCAAGCAACAGAGGGTGCCATCACAGTCAGGAGAGAAGATGCTGTGGGAAGGGCCAGACCCCATTCAAGCCCAAGGCACCTTTTGCCTGGTGATATACAGAAGTGACGTTGGCTGCCTACCACCAGCTGCCCAGCCATGTTTCCCAGGGAGACCCTTAGGAGTCCCAAGGCTACCCTAAGCCATCCTTCTGTACCTGTAGATCTAAATGTGGGGACTTCTGGGGAACCCCCAGGTAACCATAGATCATTCCAGCTATGATAACTGAGGGATTCTTGCAGCGAAGTAGCATTGGAGTGGGTGGGCAAAAGACCCCTCCATGCCTCCAGCCCATTGGGCAGGGCCAGGAGCAGAGGAGTCAGCATCGGTGAGCCCTAGGTAAGGGCTCTGAGCAGTGTGACAAGACCTCAGTTCTGGGTGCAGAGGGTAGGGTTGGGCCTGGTGGGGGGTGCGTTCCTACAGAGGCCGCCAACCCCCGGGAGCTGCATAGGTGCAGGTAGGTGGGCTTGGGGAAAGTGGCCAGGGCTTGTCATGAGGGGAGTTGAGCCCTGGCATAGCTAGGTACCTTTTCCTGCGTCTAGAAGTTTATCCCAGCTTGCTTGCTTTCATTTTCAAATTAAAGGGAGCAAAAAGACAAGCTTAATTGTCCCTTGTGCCCCTTTCCACAGACCGGGAAGAAGCCACAGGGCAAGCTATGGCCAGCTTTGATCCTCATGCCCTCCTGTGAAGGCCAAGGCAGCCAGTGGTCCTGAAGGCTGATGGCACCAGGGTGGCCTGGAGTAGAAGCCCAAGGCCCAGGCCTGGCATCTATGGGCAGCCTAGTGGCAAGCATTGGTGGGGTTTTGATAGGAGGGAAAGGGAGCAAGGGGAGTTGGAAGTGCAGGGCTGCTCTGCCCTGGGAGTCGGGATGCTGGTCTGTGCGTGTTTGTGTGTGTGTGGGTAAGCATGGGCGTGTGTTACACACATTAGTGTGGGCATGCACACATGTGCAGAGCCCAAATCTTAGCTATGGGACTGGCTCTTTCAGTATTTTGAGTCTGGGGTAGCAATCTTGCCATGGGTACAGAGGGGGTTAGGTGAATGGTGGGCAGGCCCCAAACGCCGGCATAGAGCGGGGTTACCCTGGTAGGACAGCCTCACTCCATGGACTGTGGAGGGGCAGAGGCATCTCCAGCAGGGGCCTGACAGTCCATGAATCAGTGTGAAGGGGCTGGGCCTGCCTATTGTACGGACAGTATTCACAGGGAGGGGCTGTGCAGGCCAGCGTCCCCATACCTACTGGGGCTCATTCTGGAAGGGTGTCCAGCCAAGTTGGAGACTCACTGTGTTTGAAGAGATGAAAAGCAGGCCAGATCTAGGTCCCAAGACCAGGCCAAGCTCAGTGCATTTTCCTTCCTACTGACTCAGTTTCCCTAGATTCAGAAATGATCTGGGAAGAGGTGAGCAGAGTTGGCTCCAACATAGTAGGGGGAAAACAAAACAGCCCCAGACCCTCTCCTCCCTGTATGCCAAAATCATTTCCGTTATCCTGACGGGGGTGAGTGGACGGTGGGTACACAGTGGGGCTGTGAGGGCCTCTGCCCTGCCCAGAGCCCACCTTTGGAGAGGCAGGGGACTCCTGCCCACAGCCCCCTCTGGCCCGGTCACCAGCAGTCACAGTGGCACCTCATTGGTCCCAGGGTCTGGGTGAAGGGGAGAACTGGCCATCCTGCCCCCACCTCCTGGGGCCCTCATGCTTATTTTCTTGTTGAAAAAACACAAAACCCTCGAGATTCACGTACTGTATGATGGCAAGAATAAAAGTACCTAATGTTCCCCCCCCAAAAGACAGTATATTTTGTACTTTGTAAAGTGTTAATTAAAATGAAGAAAAAAACACTATTGGCTGATGGCTGAGTTTTTGCTGGTCCATCCAGGGCTCCATCTCTTTTCTCTCTCTCTCTCTCTCTCTCTCTCTCTTGCACACTGTGGTCAGGAGAGCATAGGCCAGGGCGGAGGGGGCAGAACAGCTCTTCCAGAACAACACCCAGAATCTGAGCCATGGCCCCCAGAGCATGAGGGGCTGCATTAGTTACCTGATGCTGCATAACAAGTAGCCCCCAAATTTAAGAGGCTTAGAATAATTTTTTAAGCATCACAGTATCTGTGGGTCAGGAATTGAGTAATCCTGGCTCAGTCACACAAGGACTGGAGGCTACTTCCTAAGTTAGACCTGAGTGCTGGCAGTCCTTCCCCACATGGGTCTTCTCACAGGTCTGCTTGAGTGTCCTCTGCTTCCCCCAAAGCAAAGAATTCAAGGGCCCAAAATACTTCTACCATACTCTTTTTCATGCAAAGGGGTGAAAATGAGGAGGCAAAAATCGCTGAGCTATCTTGGAGGCTGGCTGCTATGCCAGATCTTCCCAGGGCCTCCAGCAGAGGCAGGCATGGCAGGTGGGGGGGCCTACAGAGCCGGACAGGGCCTTGCAGATGCCAGGGGAAGATGAGGGCTACACATCAGCCAGGGGGCCTCTGCCCCAAGCCTGGCAGCTGCCAGAAGGTGCCAGAAACCCCAGAGATGATACCTTTAGACAAGATATCCTGGGAGCAGGAGAGGGCATCATGCCCTCATCCCTCCATAAGCACTATGGCTGGTGGTTCCTGGCCTCTTGATAGGTTGGGGCCCCAAGATGGGCTTTGATAGGCCCTGGACCTCAGACACACTTCTCCCTGCTCCTCTTTTGTCCACAGCGGGTTGAAGGGCTAGTGTAAGCAGAACTGAAGACCTGTTCCAGCCTCCACCCCCACCCGCCTCACCCCAGCCCACAGGAAGAGGTCCCAGAGATGGAAGGGAGTGAAAATGGAGCTGAATAATTTCCCACCACCCAGAGCCCCAAACTGTTCTTTCTGACTGCTGAGAAGGCTTTTCTGTCTGGGGTCTGCAGACATCCCACTGGAGCCATGAGGATAAACTCAAAACCATTACAAGGCCCTGAAGAGCCTGGTCTTTGTTTCCACTGCTCACTCATATCCTGTGCGCTGGGGCCCTGGGGACCTGCCACAGCCCCAGCACCAGGACTGCTTTCGGAGCCAGCGCAGGGCAGCAGTGCTAGGTCAGAATCCACGGGGCGCTGTGCTCAGACCAGAAACTGCCCAGCTACCCAGCAGTGGGGGAAGACCTGAGAAGTAGGATATGATAGTTCAGTTTTGTGAGACAGGTGGATGAACGGCACTTGGTGGATCCAAGCAAATGGAATGGCCCTGGCTCAGAGGGCACAGCGGGCACTGAAGCTGGGATGAAGCTGATGGGGAAGGGAGGAAAGGGATGGGGCAGGTAGGGGACAGACGGAAGCTCAGGTTTCTGTCCAGGAGTGACCAGGCCTGGCATCAGAATAAGGGATCTTGGGTTCTTGAATATGGCTGAAAGGAAGAAAATGGGATGTCTAGAACCAGTGTCCTGGAGCCTTCCCAGTGCAGAGTCCAGAGTGGCAGGGCCATGGCTGGCTGAAGAGGATAGCTGATGGCTGCCAGCCAGCCCCTCAGAACCACTCAAGAGTCTCCCTCCCAGACAGGGTATAATTCCTCCTGGGGTGCAGCTTTGGCTTCTACTTGGCAGGGCTCTCAAACCCCTGGGGAGCCAGACTCCACCCCAAAGACTCTGGCTCAGCTGCTCTTGGTTTCTTTTTTTTTGAGACAGAGCCTCAAGCTGTCCCCCTGGGTAGAGTGCTGTGGCATTACAGCTCACAGCAACCTCCAACTCCTGGGCTCAAGGGAGTCTCCTGCCTC